GGGGGGGGGGGGGGGAGGGGTGATGGGGGAAAATAGCTTGATGATCCACGCCATTAAGCCTTGCTCTTCATGTTTTTATTGTGAAATTTCTGACCTCATAGACACCGTCGGGGACGCAGCATCACTCAGGAGGGTCGGTGACATACTCCTAGAAAAAACGATCTCATTGACAGCTCATTGATTGCAGTAAATGTGAAGCTCTACTTTATACTTACCCTAAAACAAAGACAAGCTTCATCAGTGTACTTCTCATTTCTTCCACTATTAGGTTTCGCCGGAAACCGGGTAGCTGAAAATATGGTTTTACAGGGTTACAGCAGTAAGGCCAATTGATCATTCGACTACACAGGTAAGTTTACCAGTTTAGTTTATGATCAATGCAGACGACGTAGTTTTTGAAAAAAAAGCCCAACTTCGAAATACGACAACAAACACGAACGACCTCGAGTCTTGGGAGGAAAACATTGGGCCGATGAAATACGTCTTTGATTAAAAAGAGAAAGGCAAAATTTTCATCCAAGATTGTATGGCGAGCAAATAAAAGGGGTATTGCATGCCAAGAAAGTCACTCTTCAGCAGCACAAACATCCCGCGGGCAGTACTGTGTAGCAGAGAGATCGATCTAGCAAAACAGTGAGCAACAAAGGGTTGAAATGTATGACACACGATTTTTCAATAGAAGGACCACTTGAAGAGGTTGGATTGGTTATTGTTTTGATTAATTGCTGTTGTTCATGTATAAAACAGTATCAGTGGAAGGAAATATTCATGAAGGAAATGGCGCAATTGATAAATGGTGATTGCTTAGGTCGCTGTTTTGGTTGTTACACCTCTCCACTGCGCGTTTGAGTGAAAGCGAAATGAAAGCGTTGTGCAGTCACAATTATATGATAGTAGACGAGTGGTGGTAATGTGGAGCTGACGTGAGGCTGTCATAGGCACTGCGTCTTCATCTCTTCTCATGAAGCCGAGAAGAAAACGTTACTCTAACATCTTGTTGTATTATCAAACAAACATTGTTACCCCAACGTAAGAGGAAAGCTGAGAGCAGCAGTTGGAAAGCACAGATATGGATCCCATCATTCACGAGAAAGGTTTGTCCACAGCTCGTCGTGCTTTCACAGCCTTGAAAGGTGGCTCAGATGGGACGAGGTCAAGGGAATGGGGAGAGAGGAGCACGTCATTCCAGCCAAGTTCCTGTCACTCGGACTGCTAGTCTTTGTGACGTCAAGACGAGCGCTATCTTGCAGCAAATGAAGAGGAACTCTTATCCTTCGTTTTTCTTTGATTGCATTGCTTAGTAATGATGAACAAAAAAAACTTTCAGTAACGGGAACGATATCGGACTGGAAACACCTTCGGTTGACCACTTAAGTTTATACACGAGTAACAAGAAATAGTGCATCAACGCAACTGTTGCGTTCTTGTCTTATAAGGTATTGCTTAATTCTCCTTGACACTAACCCCGCACCGTCGTAGGGTGAGCCGTTCCTGTTGGTCGTCGCCATTTGCAACAGCTTCTGTATTGAGTCTATTATGAGCAAAGTCTTTCCTGATCACATTGCATCAGACCTTCTTTGGAGATAATTACGGTCGCTTCTCTTAGGCTTCATACTCTGTTCTTTTTTATGGGTGATTCGGTAGCCTTTTCGACTATCGGATCACCTGATAAGAGTTACAGCCACCATCTACAGCAGTCAAAGTACTAGGATCTATGAAATTCTTGGATGATTCTTGGAGCCGACTGTGGAGCAAAACCTTTTTTTGAGTACTGTTCTGGTGCTGTTCTGACCTAGATTTTAAAAGAGTGCCTTCAGGAAACAGACAGCAGTTCTTTTGTTGTTGCCTTAGAGGATCCACCTCTCATCTCTCGTCTCCTG